ATGGGTTCCTCCAGAGGGTTAGCATTTGCTTCTGCCAGATGTCCGGGAGCACTATCAGTCAAAATCATTCTTCAGTAAATTATTAGCTTCAGCTGTTTTGGGATTGCCCAGGTAGTATAAATTCAAGTTACATTTTTGTTTTTTATTTTTTTGTTTTTGATGAGGAAGACTGGCCCTGAGCTAACGTCCATTGTCAATAGTCCTTTTTTTGCTTCAGGAAGATTGTCCCTGAGCTAACATCTGCGGCAATCTTCCTCTGTTTTGTATGTGGGGTGCCACCACAGTATGGCTTGATGAGTGCTGTATAGGTCTGCACCTGGGATCTGAACCTGCAAACCCCAGGCCGCTGAAGCAGAGCACACAAACTCAACCGCTACTCCACTGGGCCAGCCCCCAAGTTACCTTTTTGTGTGAGAGCTGGATTGTAACTCCAAATTCTCAGATACGATTTTGCTTTTCCCTTGTCTACTAGGTACCAAGGTCAAAAACAGTTAATTTTTTTTGTAGACCCTGGGGAAGCATGTGCATGCTAGTAAGGGGCAAGTTTATTTCTAGCACATCTTTACCCTGGATGAACAATCCTCGGAATCACAGCTTTCCCTGCATGTGCAAGGCAGGCCATGGGTTCTGTCTCTTATAAGGCCATGAAACCAAACCTCACATTGACCGGGTTGGGCAAGTACCCTTGGAGGAAAGGCTGGCTTTAGTTTGTGCTCAGCTCTCTAGGCTTCAGCTTTCATTTCAGTTTCTGACCTAATAACTTCTTACTTTACTGCCAGTTAATCAATATATTTAACAAGATCAAAAAATATTTTGTCAGGATTTCTATTTGTTTTCAGTGTGATCATTGATTAAGGTACCTAGTCCACGATATTGCCCAAAACAGAAGCCTATATTTGTTTATTATCCAAATTTTCTTTGAGGGATAGTTCTTTTTTTTTTTTTTTTAATATTGGTACCTGAGCTAACATCTGTCACCAGTCTTTTTTTTTCTTTTTTCTTCTCTCCAAAGTGCCCCCCCCCAGTACATAGTTGTATATTCTAGCTGTGAGTGCCTCTGGTTGTGGCATGTGGGACACCGCCTCAGCATGACCTGACAAGCGGCGCCATGTCAGCACCCAGGATCTGAGCTGGCGAAAGCCAGGGCCGCTGAAGCAGAACACGTGAACTTAACAGCTGGGCCTCGGGCCAGCCCTGAGGGATATTGCTTTAAAACAAATAACACTGCACAGAAATACTTAAAGTCTATATGCAAGAAAATCTGTAGATTTTATAAACAGACTACTTTTTAAAATAAATTTTAGTTTATCTGGTTGACTATTTTGTAAGATGTCTACTTTATTTTATTAAATAGAAGTTTAGATATTATTGTTCTATAGTGCACTTAGCCTTTGAACCACTAATCTGTTGGTTCAAACTCACTTTAGATGATTTTCGAGATTATGCTATACAACGATTTCAAAAATCTCTGTGATTTAGAATAAATATTTGTTTTACTCTTGTTTCACATTAGCAGCTGTGGGTCAGCTGCTGCAAGTACTGCTCCAGCAGAAAGGTCAATTTCAGGTCCGCTCCACCTATCTTCTCCTTCTGAGACTCTATTTGGAACAGGTCTTTCTCGTTGCAGGCAGCCCAAGACTAAGAGAGCCACCTCAACACTGCACTCAAATTTAAAGCAGTTAGCATGTGTCACATCTGTTCACAAACCATTGGCTAGAGCAGGTCACGTGACCAAGAGTAATTATACAAACTACCACAGTCTTCAAAGTTGTGTTGAATAACTTATTCATGTTTGAGATTGCTTTCAATCTCAATCTTCTTTCAGGAAATGAGGATTTTAGTGGCAAAATAAGTGTCTAAATAGGTTGATTAAAACAGAAAAAACCCTCACACCAAATCTCTCTAATTCTAGGTTAGAGTTGGAATAGATTCTGTGGGAAAGATTATCATGCCTGTCAGTGCTTAAACTTCTTTGGAAAAGAGAACTCATTCTTAGAAATGCATAATTAATTAAACACTAGGCAAAAGAGAGGAATTCTCTTTGGAGTTAAAATTGGAGAGTTATAATAAAAAGTTTTACTTTACTATGTTACTCTTAAAATCACTGTAAAAGTAGTGAACTTGCATGGTATCTCTTTGCATAGGAAATGGGAGTTACTGGATATTTTTCTGTTATAGTGCAGGATCACATATTACAGTTTCTGTTTCTGTTGTGATTACATTGAAAATGCTAGCCTGAATGATTTCTTGGAATTATAGAATATTAGATTTGAAAGGCTCCGAGAAGCATGTATTTTTCAACTGTAGTATATTGATACATTTTGTTGCAGTTGTGAGGTATGTCAAGAATCATAAATATTTATGACAAGTAACTATTATTAGCAATGGTTAGAGAAGATTGTGAAATGTATACTTACATTTTTTTTTAAAGATTTTATTTTTTTCCTTTTTCTCCCCAAAGCCCCCGCTACATAGTTGTATATTCTTTGTTGTGGGTCCTTCTAGTTGTGGCATGTGGGATGCTGCCTCAGTGTGGTTTGGTGAGCAGTGCTATGTCCGTGCCCAGGATTCGAACCAACGAAACACTGGGCCGCCTGCAGCAGAGCGTGAGAACTTAACCACTCGGCAACGGGGCCAACCCCTATACTTACATTTTGTTTTCCTATAATATATTCACTTTCACTTACTTGCATTCTGATTTTTTGTTTTGGAATGTGGCTGAAAGGATTTACAGCTAGTTTGGCAAGAATTTGCATAATCCTGGATATACCATGGCTATTTGTTTCAAACGTGAATATCATCCATTGGAAAAAAAAGTTGAGTATCATTCCCTAAAGAGCATGTTAGCCCAACGCCCTACTTTTATCAGAACTTGAAATGCAGAAGGTACTTTATCCAGTCACATGTCTAATTAGCTAAGTCTATAATTTAGGCCTCCTTGCTTCCTGTACAGTGCTTCCCATTTCAGTAAATGACCGTTTGTTTTCAAGAGCCAATATAAGAAAATGGGGCTAAGGTGGGAGAGGATTAAGCAAGGCAATTTGCCTTTTTCTAATCTTTAGTCTCAGTTCCCAAAGTAAAGGACAAGCAGAGAGAAACAGAGCCCAGATGGTATATTTTGCATGTTATCTACGCTTTAGGGACATTCTTTTTCAAACCTATTTGATTGCAACTCACAAGAAATACAGTAAAAATCACAACATAAGTTACCCTCTCACCCTCCATAACTGAAACAAAAGTTTCACGAAGCAATTCTTGTCCTTACCAGGTATGCACTCTGATCTTTTATATTCTATTCCATTCTCGCCTATGAACTTAAAAAATGAAATTGATTTTTGAGTCAGTTCGAAAAATAATGCTTTAGAAAATAGGAGACAAGTTTCAATCTCTTGGCAAGGTCCAAAGTTACCAGCTTTGCTGAAATAGTATCATTCATATTAATTGAACTACAAGTTAATTTGAACTACAAGTACAATCTCTGACTTCAGAACAGAACCTGTAGAATCTTTTCCTCATTGGAACAGTAGCTCATTACAATATCTCATAGATTCCAAGAAGCATTGTTTTTCACATTGTAACAACTCTGAATTCAAGATGTGTCTTAAAAAAATCAGTGGCATGGCATAGTTTAGTTGGCAGTGTTCCTTTTCCTTCTTGGGTAACATGAGATAATGGTGAGTCTTAAAAGTCCATGATTTCTTAGACTTTCTACGAAATATATTAATAATAAGGGTTATATAGGCCAAACTCTATTGCTTATTCATTTCAAAGCATCTGGCCTATCAGAATGCTTTTTGATGTCTTGTGAAGAAAATGTCATGAAGAGATGAGAATTTCTTAAGAAAAAACCTTAGTTCTGGGCTGGAAGGAAAAATGTTACAAACTGAGTTATTACGGAAAGCTTTCTCATGGGCTTTCATTGTCAGCAGGGTTTGACTGGTTTGCTTTTCGACCTCCCTTATTTCTGTATTGTAGACTTTCTTTCGGTAACTAGCATCCCACCCTTTTCCTCTCATCAACAGGGTTGGGCGGAGAGTCCTCAGACCACGGTTAAAAAGGAAGACAAAAGGTTATGTTCAAAAGCGAAGATACTTGAAAAAAATCAAAAATCAGGTTTTATTTTAAAAATGGGACGAATTGCCAAATTCCTGTGTGTCTGTTTAAACCGCCACCAACTAACACATTGTAAAACTCCATGACTGTAAAACTGGCACGAAGGATCCTGAACATGACTAGGAATAAAGATAGTTTGCTAGGGTATTTTCATCCCAGCGTGATTGAAATGCACCATCCTTTCTTCAAAAATAAAAACCTCTAAAGCAGAAAACAGTGAATTAAATGCCACAATTAACGTGCCACTAGAAATAGGAACAAGTAGTTAAACTGCTTCCAGCCAGACACACGAGGCCTCCTTTCTCCTCTGTTGGACTGTCACTCCGGCGCGGCCCCGCTGGCGGCGTCCCCGCTCGGCCCTGAGTGGCGCCCGTCGCGCGGCCTCCCCCGACCGGGCAGGGGCCCTCACGCCCGGTCCCGGGTCTTGCCTCAGCGCGTCCCGGGGGCTGGCGGCGGTGGGCCGCCTGGGCGTGTGGAGGCGACGCCGGGCGGTCGCCCTCAGGCAGCACCTGGCGTTGACAGTTGCCCCGCGCGGCCCCGCCCGGCCTGCCTCCGGGAGGGAAGCTACCCGGCCCCTCCGCGACGCCTCGTGACGGGAAGGGGGCGTGGCCGGCGCCCGCGGGCCGGGGGCGGGGCCGCCGGGGAGGGCGACGGCTGCCAGGGCCGAGCGGCGCTGGGTGCCCGAGAGGCGGCGGCGCGGTCGATGACAGCATTAGGTCGCGACGCGCTGCTGGCCGGGCGGCGGCGGTAGCGCGGCGGTAGCTTTCGCCGCAGCGGTAGCGCCGCCGGTTCCCAGCAGACGGAGGGAGGGCGGGGACCGCGGGCCGCAGTCCCGCCCCCTCGCGGGCCGAGCCGGCAGCGCCTCCGCGGCTGCGAGACAGCGCCCTCGGTCCTGGCTGGCGCCCCAGCAGCCGCCGGCGACAGCGGCCGAGCGAAGTTGGGGTCCGGCCGGACGCGTGCAGGACTCCCCAGGAGCCGACCCCGCGCCTCGCCTCTCCGGGGGCTCCGCACCGGTGAGTGTGGCGGGGTTCCACGGACGACTGCACCCCCTCTTCCCTCGTTCTGAGCTCGGGCTGCGGGGACGCGTTCCTCTTGGCTTTGTCCCCTTTCGGAGCGGCGGCTTCTCGAGGCTAGCGGGGACGGAGTGCGCTGGGCCCGCCGGGGTGCGCCGGCGCCCGAGAGAGCCGCGGCGGTGCCGGGCTGCGCGCGTGGAACGCCCCGAGGGTCGCCTCCTCCCGAAGCTCGGGCGCCCGGCGGGTCGCGGGCAGCCCCCGCGCCCGGCAGGCTGGCGCTGTGTCACTGGTGCGATGAAGGCGAGGCGCCCGTGTCCCTGTGGCGGCCCGAGGGGCTGCGCCGCGCACTGCAGAGCGCGCCCTTGAGAGCCGAGGGACGCGCCTCCACATCCCGGGTCCTGGGCCTGCTCGTCGTGTAGCAGGAAGCGGAGCCTCTGCTGCGCTCGCGGCGCTGAGCTGGTTTCCGAGCGCGCTCTTGGAGCGAGTCGGGCCCCGGCAGCTTCAGGCGGAGCTGCCGCGGTTCACGGAGCCGCCCACTCAAGGCGGCCGAGGCAAACCGCGGGACGGGCAGTTTCCGCTCGGAGTGGTGTAGCACTCTTCTTTGTGGCAGGCATCTGCGTGGAGCAGCATACCCGGTTTCATTTTACTCAGTGCTGTCTGAAATGATAGGTACCTTGGGCTCCTATTTAAACAGATGGGAAGACTTACCCAACTGATGGTATCAGCGGGTTTGCGTTAAATAATTTAATGAAGTTTTTGCCTTCCTGCTGCTGGAAGACTTAAATGACTTCTAAGTAGTATTAGAATGCTGAGTGTATGGAAGGGTTATTAGTTTTTATTAACCTCCCCTGAAATTTAGCGTCAAATTAGTGCCACTTTTGGTATTTTCAAATAATCATTTAAAAGTTTTTTTTTTTTAACCTCCGTTCAGATTCCAAAGAGAGAGGAGAAACGTGGGCTTGTTAGCTTTTCTCCATCCCGTTAGGTGTCATTTACAGTTGATCATGCTGAGAGACTATGGTCAATTTCTATGCTTGCTAGAATCTCTTTTGCAGTGAAATTATTAAGATCATGCTAGTTTTATAAAACAGGTTGAGGAAGGAAGAGTAAGGGCATGTAATTTGTCCTCTATTAAAAGCACAACTAATTTCAAATGCTTGTTACCCCCTTTTTGATAGCAACTATGTATGGAATGACTACAGCGTGCCTGTCCAAGTACTGGGAAAAGAATAGATGAAACATAAGAACTACCTTTTAGGTCTTTAATTATGGAGATTAAGTTGTGGTCCAATTCCATGTGAACCATTTGAGCCGAAATACGTTGTACACAGGTGCTTAGAAATACCTGTTTAATTAGAAATGGTGATGGTTTATTTCTCTTTTGTTGAATCATATTGTATCTGTCATCTGTGAAAAGATGCTACTATACGTTTTCAGTTAGGATGTTATTACAACTTTAGAGGCAATCAAATATGTTTCTTACAACACATTTATGGCACTTAGGAATTTGGCAAACTAGTTTCTTAGTTTGTTTTTTAATTGAAAAACTTTAAAATATACTTTTGGGATAAATGTACAATTCTTTGTAATGAAGTTATGTGTTTGTGCTGATTTAAGAAAAAAGTGATAAAATTATGAATTTACAAAATCTGCATTACAAAACAATCTTTCTTGTTAAACAACAAATTGCAGAATTTCATTAACTAATGAGTGCACTTAGTACATATAAATTTGATTTGGTTCATAAATAGTCCTTCAAGAGTAGGTTACTTGAATTGAAGCCTGAGTGACAAAATAAGGAATTGATACTTAGATGTAGTTTTCCAATATTTTTGGAAAATTCTTATCTTAATAGCAGCACTTGAAGTATTTTTAATATTCAAAGCTGAACACATTTATAGCAATGATCTTGGAGCACTGGGGGATTCAAAAGTAGAAGATATACGTTGTACCTTATGCTTGTGAGTATGGCCTACAGATTATGCAGAAATACAACTTGAATTAGAAAGCCTCTGAGTACTTCATTAATAAAGGTGGCTGAGTGCAAGGAGATTGATGGAGGTGCTCGATTGGAGCCATTGCCGCTGAAGTATAGTTTCCTTGTGGATAGGACACAGAAAGAGATGTCTGGACTGATGTTGTGTGAAGATTTCGTGTCAGTATGTGGGAAAGCCCTGAGAGATTTTAGATCTATCCTTCCTTCCACCTCGGTCCCCACCCCCTCATATATCCTCTCAAAGGCATGAAGTTGAAGGTCTCGTCTGCAAGACATAGAAGGGATTTTTCCTCCCTGAAAAATGTTATCGAGTTTGCAAGGGAGAAAGCTTTGTTCAGAGGCTTTGGAGGGAAGGAATCCTTGTCCTGGAACAGCATACTCTTATACCTTATGTTCTTTTTCCCTTTGTTGAAGTTGCAGACACTGTAAGCTCTCCATAACAGCAAGAACCTTGTCTGTTTTACTCACCGTTGACTCTCCAAGTGCTTAGTAGTTACTGAATGAAAAACTGTAGTTGCACATATATGAGTGGAGAACAAAGATGGAGTATGTGTTAATAAATTCCAAATTAAGTACAAGATGAGGTGAGAGAGGAAGGACGTTGGCTTGGGAGGAGGGAGCAGGTCATTTAATCTGGGAAACTTTCTTGGAGGAGGTGATTTTTGAGTTAGGTCTTGCTGAAAGCTGTATACCTGAAGATAAGCAGCTATTCTAAGGGGATAGGCAGCATGAACCAAAACATTTAAATTGTACTGGTAATCATGTCAGATTGAGCACAGGGAGTCTTTTTTGGTAACACTGTGAAGACTTTTTCTCCTCCGCTTAACAGCTGTTGCCTCTCTGAGATAAAAAAGATTGGTACCTTATAAGAGCTAAGACTTAGAGTACTTGAGTTTTGGAAGTGACAGTGGTACTGTGAAAGCAGGAGCATTGAACTGAGGGTCAGAAAATTTGAATTGGATTTCTCATTGCATCTTATACCAGCAAGTGCCCTTGGGCAAATCACTGGACGTCACTTTTCTCACTTGTAAAAAGAGGATAATAATCCTTATCCCACATGAGTTGGGAGAATGAAATCACATAATGAATATGGCAGTACCTACCTTAGTGTCTAACACATAGGAGAACTTCAACAGAAATTATTTAAAACATTTCTTTGTCTTTAGACCTTTAAAAAATGTTTTGGCATATTTATCATGAACTCTAATGTCTGCTTGACCTTTGGGTACCCATGGTATTTACCTTTAAATTTATGAGTATCAAAATTTTAGATGCTTAGCTTTCTTTCAGTCAAGCACAATGTTTTCTCATACAAATGAGGTTTAATTGTGTTACTTCTTAATGTTACCACAAGGAATACTAGATGCCTCAAATTTTTGAAGCTTTACGTAAGGGATATGTGTGGCTGAAAGTCTGAGCCTTTAGGCTTTTCTTATCTACAGTCATCATTTTTGAAGAAATTGCCCTTGCCTATCATGCCATCTAGCTATTCATTGTGAAGAAACGGGATTTTCCTACTATTAAGGAAAAAAAGCCCCCAGAAATATCCTCTGTGTTTAGTGGTCTGAGTGACTAAACCATGAAGGATCTCTGCCTGCTGTCCTTTATTTTAGAATTCAGTATTTTTTGAGCGGGCTGATAAGACTTCTGCATCATTTCTTATCTAAGCTTTTTGCTCCAGTAGCTATTTGTTCTTTTGTGAATCTCAAAATTTCATTATACTTTGTGGACTCTTTGTAGTGTTTATAATCCATGGAGCAGTCTATCCTTTGTATAATACTTGGAAGGGAATTTTATTATAAAAAGACCAAAAAGAGTCTTGAGTCTTGAAATGATAAAGAAGACTGTTATCCACCATCTTCTGTATTCACAAAGGATTGGAAAAAAAGAAAAAAGGTTTTTGAGCTTGAAGACTCTTTTCGGATAAAAAGGAGAAACTTTTTGATTTAGTGTTATTAAAAACATGATAGATTCAGAGGAAGATTGTTATAGCTCCTGAAGGTGTCTTAGTAGGAGTGATTGGTCATAATAATAATAACTAATATGCTAAACTATGTGCCAGGTACTACTTTAGAAGTACTTGACGTATGTTATCACATTTAATCTTCACAGTGATCCCCCAAATCAGGCTGTTTTCTTGTCCTTTTTTAAACTTCAGGTACTGAGATTAACTAGTAGGTAATGGAGCCAGGATTTGAACTAACCCTGAGTTGCAGGGAGGCTAAGCAGCAGGGGATGGAGCCTACCAAAAAGATCTGAATTCAAGATTTAACCTGACCTCTGACTTCAGAGCCGGTCCTTTTAACCACCACTTTATACCGCCTTGTGTAGTTTATTTGCACTTGCCCCTTGTGACGGATCTTGACCTTTGTGATCTTTCTGAGTCTATTTTGACTGTATGATTTGGTGAAAATACACTTTGTAATAAGATGGCCTACAGCCTTGATTTTTCTTTTTCGTTTCATGTGCATTTGACTGACATGTTATTTTTTAAATCTTAAAATACTTGGAGTAAAGCAGATAATCCCTTATTGTTTATTCACTTGCCATTTTCTCACTAGGAAATTCCAGACTAAGCTGGAGATATAAGAACATAATGATACAGTATTTTAAGGTGACTTGTTACAATTTTTAAAATTTATACTTTTTTTTTAAGGAGTAAGATTGATGCACAGAATTGGTATGGGTGGTTTTTTTGTAGGATATTTGAGGAACACAAATTTATGTAATTGAAATTTATCCTATTGAAATTTCAGTTTCCATCATTAAAGTAACTGGTTTTTTGGTTGTCAAATGCCACATATTAGCAGGAGTAGTTTATCAGATTGCATAGTGTTTTACAAAGAAGGTTCAGGCCCCTGTGGAATTGGTGAAAGCTGTGTAGGGACATTTTGGTGGGGTGGGAGCATGGTAGATCTGGGGAGAGAGCAGTCAAGTCTAAGTAACGTTATTACTGGGTAAGAGCAAGCAGGTGGGATGCTGTAGACGTGAGGGCACAGGTACA